AACAGTGGCGAGAACTTTTAAATCAACGCGACGTCATTGATGATATGATTAAAGAACTTGAAGGTGTTAATGAATGCGTCCCAGGAAAGGATGAAAATGACAATGGAAAGTACCCTGACGAAACAATGAAATGTAATGAAATGATGAAACGTGTTAAAAGTAACTATGAAGGCGGTCATTACATTTGGATGTATAATTTTGACTCCGATGACGTCGAGTGTGATTGTTAAGATCATAGCACAATGGATACCATGATGCGTTATTGTACATCTTGAAAGTATATATAACCCGTGACATTCTTGAATCTTCATTCGACAACCAAAACTGTAGCTGTTTCTATCATCATCAAAGTAAAAAAAAAATTACCTGAAGATGGAAAGCAACGCTCAGGCTCCGGTCATCATTGGCTTAACAAGGGATGATTTCCCGGTGCAGACTCCGACCATCATCGACTTAACAGGTGACGATTTCATAGGAGAGGCTCCGGTTGTCATTGATTTAACAAGGGATGATTTCCCGGTACATCAGACACCGACCGTCATCGACTTAACAGGTGACGATTTTATGGGAGAGGCTCCGGTCGTCATTGATTTAACAAGGAATGATTTCCCGATTCAGACTCCGACCATCATCGACTTAACACTTGACGATTTCATGGGAGAGGTTTTTGTCATCGATCTAACTGCGGATGATTTCCCGGTTCAGGCTCGGATCGTTGACGAAAACATAGAAGACAATGCAGTCCTGGGAGATGATGGTGATAATGAAAATGACTATGCACTAGAACTGATGAACATAACATCAAAAATTACAGAAGAAAAAATAATTCTGAACGATTTTTATGACGAGGAAGATTATTGTAATTACTTAGCAAGTGTTGCGGGTGAAGACTGCAAAGATGGCGATGATGATGTTTTTTTAGAAGTATTGGAAGATGAACTAAAGAGGAAAACAAGCAAAGTCTTAACCAATGGAACAAGATAAAAAACACTATCGAACGTGCATATAGTGATGAATTCATTAATGTATGCAATGCTCTTGTCAGTAAAAACTGTTACGGTTGTGTTAACAACCGATCAATTCAAAATGATCACGACGTGTGTTGTATTGCAAGGCAAGAGAGCGAGAAGAACCTCCGATATATTCGAATAACATTCATTCATTATGGCTTACGTACACAAAAACTCATGCGAATGCCTCAAATCGGAGTTGGATTTGTTTTCCGTTCCACCGACTCAAACTAGCATAACCAAAGGTCAGTGGGTGAAGTATTTCCAATATACATCGATATCTGATTCTGGTCCGGTGCAATTCAATATACAAGGGACGAATGAGGAATATATGGATTTGGCTCAAACTATGTTACGTGTCAAAGCAAAAATCACGAAATCCGACGGAACGGATTTAGATGCTGATGACCCGGTGGGACCAACCAATTTGTTACTACAATCTTTATTCAGTGAAGTTGATATTTCGTTGAACGAGAGATTGATTACACCATCTACCAACACCTATTCATATAGGGCTATGATTTAAACGCTGTTAACCTACGGTACGGATGCTAAGCAAACTCATCTTACGGGAGGATTGTTTTACAAAGATACTGCCGGTAGAATGGATGCGGCTAATCCTACTGTTGGAAATGCCGTAGCTAACAATGGACTAAAAAAACGTTCTGAATTTACTAACGGTAGTCGTTTGGTGGATTTGATAGGACCTATTCATTGCGATATATTTTTCCAAGATCGTATGATGCTTAATGGTGTCGATGTTAAAATTAAATTACACAGAAGCAAAAACTCATTTTGTCTCATGTCACCCGATGCAGCGGCTGGATTCAAGGTACATTTGGAAGACGCCTCCGTGTATGTAAGAAAAGTGAAATTCAATCCATCTATAGCGCTGGCTCACGCTAAAGCGCTGGAAAAAGGGACAGCTAAATGCCCGCTCCGTCGCGTCGAGGTGAAAACCCTATCAGTCCCTCAGGGAAATTTATCGTTTACCAGGGAATCGCTGTACAATGGGAATCTACCAAAACGCTTAGTGATCGGTCTAGTGGGCACTGACGCATTCAACGGGAGTTACTCTAAAAACCCGTACAACTTTCAACACTTCAATACAAACTTTATGGCCTTGTATCTAGATGGTGAGCAAGTACCTTGGAAACCGCTTAAACCTAATTTCGAAGCTGACGGTGAAGGAAGTTATATTTTAGCGTATCAGAGTTTATTCTCCGGTTTGAGTACATTATTCGAAGATACAGGAAACCAGATATCTAGAGAAGACTACGCCAGGGGATATTCTTTGTTTGCGTTTGATCTCACCCCTGATTTATCAAACAGTGGACATTTCAATCTAATTAAACGAGGAAATATACGTTTAGAAATTCAATTCGCTACTGCTTTGACAGAAACAATTAACGTTATAATTTACTCAGAATTTGATTCACTTATTAAAATAGATAAGTCTCGTAACGTAATATTAGATTTCTAATCATGGACACTATACAACTGTTAAGATTAATAAAATCAGATCCTTTGACTAAGCGATATTTTCGGGGTGCATTTCCTTCTGATCGCTTACCTAAAGGGGAGAAGGGGTACTGTCACCTACGAAAATTCATATATAATATGAATGTCATAGACGATCAATTTGGATCGAAGGTCTAATGTCTGTCCAACAATGTACACAACAAAAAGAATTACAAACTTTTAAATTTAACAAATAAGTAAATCTTTATTTCTAAAAAAATAGGTCTTCTTTTTAAACAATAAACAACACAATACAAACAATACAAACATAGAAAACATTAAATATTAAATATCAAATTCGCAACCAATGCTTTTAATTCAAATCATAACATTACTTAGCAATAATTAATTTATAATGAAATATTGGCTATCCAAATCTTAAAGATTATCTTCGTGTATAGCCATAGCAAATAACTACCAGTTTAATTAATATATTATAACATTATTGGAGTAAATAGTAATGACGAATACTACGTCTCTATTTAATCACTGTTCCCACTTAAACACGTCTGTCTTGATAATGCGTTGAATATCCACCATCATTCTTGATAGGTATAACTGTT